ATTAAAATAAGAAATGGAGTGGACCAATAAATTAACGTTAGAATTTTTACAATTATTTGAAAATGAACCTGTCATTTGGAACTCAAAGATACCAAAGGTGTTTTCTCGCGTCTCAAAGTTTTGAAATATTTTTCAAAACTGGTTTAAAACAGTTTCACAATGACATCATAACTTCTCTTACGCGAGAAAATGGTTTAAAAACGTAGAATGGATTAATTTCGAAGCGGTTTGAACCAATTTTGTGTGAAATCATGGGTTCATCGCGAGATCCTTATGTCAAACCTGTTTTGAACCAGTTTCAAAAAAGTAAACGCGAGAAAAAAGCTCAGATCTGCCGGAAATAATAGAAGTAGCGGCGGCAACAATCTGCTCTTCATCAATGTCCATTTGAACTAAATAAACGTCATGCATGCATGAAACGCCACTGAAAATCGACGGCCCTCTGCTTGAAAACTTCGCCAAACAATTGTCAAGCCAAGCCTTCGCCATAGCACCACGCGGTGTGGGAGACCAGACAAATATTCGTGCGAATGACGAATATTCCCCTATTCGCCAAATACACGTAGCGTCTGGGACCGGCTTAAGAGGAGCTCCGGAACAGCTCCGGGGCGTTACGCCACGCATCTCTTCCTTTCAAATTGGGGTCGACTAACACCGGAGCGAGTAGCTCGAGGGTTCCAAACTCTTGAAAGGAATACAACTTATAGCGAGTCACCTCCGGGTTGGCTTTAACTCCAGGGTAAACGTGTCCAGAGCTGCTTTCCAGAGCCGCTTTCCAGTATGGGAGTGTGAGGCCCGGAGCTACTCGGGGCGTTGAGCTCCCGAGCTGTACGTACCCGTCAACCTGTCAGTTGTCACATCCGTGGGTGGCTATTTATTTATTTGTTTCTTGTTATTTCTCGAAATCGAACATTTCCAAAATATAGTTTTGATTTTCTTTAATTTTTAATGAATAAAAAACATACTGCACCAACAAACAGATAATTATTTTTAAAATTTGACATATTTGACACTAAGACAGGCGTCTCACGCCATGATGCTGGAACGGTACAAATCTAGCGCGTGGCGCCCCCGAGGTGCTCTAGAGCGCGCCAATGTGCATACTGGAAAGCAGCTCAGTATGCACATTGGCGCGCACTAGAGCACCTCGGGGGCGCCACGCGCTAGATTTGTACCGTTCCAGTATCATGGCGTGAGACGCCTGTCTTAGTGTCAAATATGTCAATTTTTAAAAATAATTATCTGTTTGTCTGTGCAGTTTGTTTTTTTATGTATCAAAAATGAAAAAGAATCGAAACTATATTTTGAAAATGTTCGATCCCGAGATATAACAAGAAATAAATAAATAAATAGCCCTCCACGGATGTGACAACTGACAGGTTGACGCGTACGTACAGCTCAGGAGCTCCACGCCCTGAGTAGCTCCGAGCGTCACACTCTCATACTGGAAAGCGGCTCAGTTCAAGTTGCAATGTTTACCCTGGGGTGCATTCACCAATAGACGCCCGGGCGCGCTCCAGCGTCCAGGGCTGCGTTCAAAAACGGCTAAAGCCAAGCCAAAATTGGCATATTGCGTTCAAGTTCGGCTCCAGCGTGCAAAAAACGGTTGGCTTTACACGTTCAGATTCAGAATCGGCCGCGGTAAAGTAACTTTTGGAGGTGCTTTTAAATGAGTCTAGAAATGGTTATACGAATTTTGATTGGATGAGACCAAATTCAATCTGGCGTGGCGGCCAGCAAGTTAGTTTTGAATAGGTGTTTTCATGCATATTTCAATTATTTTGCTTCGAGTTTTGTTTGCAGCTTTCATTTTGATTATTTAATAAAATATTTGTAGGTACGTAAACTATTGATTTGGGCAGAAACTAAAATATTTTTTGTGTTTTTTCGTCCATGTGTGGACGCCACGCCATCTTGAATGTCACGTGGTTTCGATCGCCTAATTGAGAAACGGTATTTGGCGTTCCAGCAAATTCACACCAGATTTGGCATTGCCGGTAGAAGGGGAATAGTAGGTTTTGGCATTAGCATTGCCGTCTTTGAACGCACTCCGGGGAAGTTGTACACGAATCGGGATGCTTGTGTTTTTTTTTAATAGGGCAATCCAACGACCTGTCAAAATGGAATTCAAAATGGAGGCCAATGCCTTTTTATTAAAAAAAAAATTCGTTTTATTGTGATTTCTGATTTGTATAAAGTCTGTAAAGTGTTGATTTTTTGGAAAATGCATACCGTATGTATTATACTTAGTTGTGCGAGCCATTCTAATCGCGAGAAAGTCTAGTTTCATGCCGTTCCTACAAAGACAAAACACAGGTTTTTAACGGAGGAAAATGGTTTGTCTGTACTTTGTGCGGGCTTCATGGATTGTAGCAAAAGAGAAAAAATCTTACGAAATTCATATTAAAAAACCAAAAAGTCTCTCTACATAAATGGTGTATAGATCCAAGCCATTACTATCCTCCACATCAGCTTGTACCGATACCTTGAATAGCAGACAAATAGAATAAACATCAGCATTCAGGATTTGGTTAAGAAAAAACTAAACAGGAAACAAATCCTGATAGTACCTACCTAATTGTTTAGCAGGTAAAGGTTTGTCACACAGAAATCATAACTTTTGCAAACATCCGGGTTTTCCACTAATAATTTCTTAAACTAAAAACTTTCCATCTTAAAATACGAAAGTTATCCTCCCAAACACTAGAAAATCATCTAAAAACACCACAACACAATAAAAACAGTTTTTTGATGAAAAATATCAGGGTTGTTTGAATTAAATTTATGGCGCCGATTTTTTGACATTGACCATGCATTGACCGCCATTTTGTTTGGATTGCCCTATTCTGAGATCATCATAACGTTTTAAAAAAAGTTAGCTGCTGGATCCATGATCGAATACAAATGCAATTCACAAATAAAATTAAGAAATAAACAAGAATGTACGTGATGCAAAATCAAAACATAAAACATATGGAGGTAACAAATGTCACAATTCACCTTGGTTGGGGCGTTTCTTAACCCAGTTAAGTCACTTCCACTACCCGAGTAAGATTTACCTAGAGCCGCTTTCCAGTATGCACATTGGCGCGCTCTAGAGCACCTTAGGGGCGCCACGCACTAAATTTGCACCGTTCCAGTATCATGGCGTGAGACGCCTGACTTAGAGTCAAATATGTCAAATTTTAAAAATAATTATCTTTTTGTTTGTGCAGTTTGTTTTTTTATTTATCAAAAATGAAAGAGAATCAAAACTATATTTTTTATAATGTTCAATCTTGCGATATAACAAGAAATAAATAGATAAATAGCCACCCACGAATGTGACAGCTGACAGGTTGACGCGTACGTACAGCTCGGGAGCTCAACGCCCCGAGTAGCTCCGGGCGTCACACTCCTATACTGGAAAGCGGCTTAGGTAGAATATATCCCGGGTTGTCGAATCGTGAATGCGCCCCTCTGGAGTTAGGCTGAACCCGGGGGTGACTTGCTAATAGTTGTATTCCTTTCAAGAGCTTGAAACACTCGTGCTACTCGCTTCGGTGCTTAGTCGCCCCGGGCAGGGAACATATGCGTGGTGCAACAAACACTTTTCGAAAGGAATAAGCGCGTGAAGCCCCGGAGCTGTTCCGGAGCTCCTCCTAAGTGTGAAAGGAATACAACTATTGAGAAACCGGCCCTCAAACCAGTGCCGTATTTCCCTATACGCACAGTACGCACAGGCATAGGGGGGCAAATCTAAGGAGGCGGCAAAATTAAAAAAAAAGGATTCAGAAAAAGGCAAAATATAATCGGGAAAAGAAAGCCGAAGATCCAACGCGAAACACGGTTCTGTTTCGCGTTGGACCTTTATTTGATTTTTGATAAATTTGAACAATATTATAACAAATACAAAAAATAACAAAGCACAAAAAACAGATACCTATCAAAAAAATTATAGAGTCTGTAAACACCGGTTGTGGAAATAAAAAGTGCATATGAAAAAAATGAATCGAACAAAAAATCACACACAGATCAAAATAATTTATACCAAGTGTAGGAATAAAATGTAGGTAGTACAGAAAAAAAAAATGAAAAAAGACTCGAAATAAACGTTTTTGGGCATGGCACCCAAAATGATTTTCGTTTAATCCTGGCGTCCCTGTTAAGTTTGGCTTGTCCGCCTGGCTATGCGTACGCCACTGTCCGTGTCCTAGTCCTAGCCTTGTATCTTCTTGCCTCCCCCGTTTTTGAGGCACGCGCCGCTGCCGCCGCTCGTGCCAACAGGAGGCAGGCTTAATTTACTGGTTGTTCAACTTTATTTATGAACACCAACTTTGGTTCCTAAAATTATTTTGGGTAAGAGCCGTTTGACACGGCAAAGTTTCTTCACGAAATTATTGCCGAAATATTTCGTAAGTTTACTATTCTTGGTTTCGCTTTTTCCTGTTTGACACGGCAGGCTACGTAAATCAGGCTGTATACAAGGGAAACCGGCTTTCGGGCTTCAAATTCATAAAATATATAATAATATATACAAAACACAACTTTTTATTTAGCTTTTACACTTTTCCGAACTTTCCCGGTCTCCGTTGTTTATATATTTTTCTTCTAACCGCTCGGCGTAACCACTGTAGGCAAACCTTGCGTTCGGTATTTTGCTCGAAGAGCAGAGCGTGCAGAGCGGAGCCGTAATCACGTGACCAGCGAGCGAACAGAGCAGTTGAACGCTGTATAAAAGTGCCAGAAATTTTAATAAACGAACGCGAATGAGGATACACCGAGTACACTTTTTGAATAAACGAACGGTAAAGTCAAGCTCGGAGAACTCAGACCAAAATAACGAACGCACGGATAACCATATCGCCGAGGCGGTTAGAGAAATGACATACCGTTTTCTAACCCGGTTACAAAGTGACATCTTTGACACACTCGAATTTGAGTGGTATGTTGCGGTTTGTTAAACCGGAGCCACGTGAAAAGGGCTGGCAAAAGCAACTTAAGCAACCGGCATCGGCACGGCAACCACAATTGGCAACATTGGCTAAGGAAAGAAGAAATCAATCAACAGATTTATTTACAAATCTACTTTTAATAAATATGATAAGAATACTGAGGTGGTTTCCATAGGTAAATAAAAATCACGTTAATGGAATTTTAATTCGCACAATCCTTTTAGTTATTATGTAAAAAGGTAAAATAATTTTTTAACCTAAAAATGAATGGCTATTGATTCCTTTTATGAAGTTTATTTTTAAAATTATAAATATTAAGATAATATTGTTTTTTTCAGTTATCAAGTTGACCAAAGGACAACCGCAATCTGTGATAGGAAATTTTAAAAAAATGGGCGTGAACAGTAGTAAAAAATTGGCCGCTAAATGTTCCTTTCTGTCCAAAGACGAACAATTGATAGTAAGCAATTCCTTCAAGTTGGCCAGCAGGAATTCGGAGAAAATCAAAGAAGACGAATTAACAGTAAGAATTGCTCAATCCTGTTTAATAATGTTTATTGTGTGACAGAGATGTAGGTATGAAACCCTTAAATTGAATTTATGCCTATGTCCAAAACCCACACCACGTTAAATCCATTGTTTAATGATTTTTCTTGCAAATAACACTGAGCATGTTCTCAGAGTACTAATTGCGAGACTAATTAGAGAGTTGGCAATTACTGAACATTTCAGATCATTTTGTTTTTAAGTGAAATTGAAGCATTGTGTTGCGCTACATCATCACATATGCAACAGCCATTTATTCAGCAGTTGAACCATTGGGCATCACCCTGTGCGTCACACCGAGTGCACACCAGCTATGAATTATTCATGGCTGGTGTGCACTGGGTGTGAGGTGTGACACCCAGGGCGATTTTGAACGCACTCCTGAGGTCTTTGAATCCTTTATGATTTTTTTGTGTTTAAATAATTTGTTTTTGACTAAAACTTCTGCGAGATGAACAAAGCAAAAAGAGTGAACCTATTTTGATGCATGGCGAAATCGCCAAAATTGTGATAAAAATGTTAAACATTAAACACCTAAAAGTTTCAAATTATTTTTGCAAATTGGGTACGGATGTCACTGATAATTCTATTTTTGTTAAATATTTCACTACAAAAAATGTCTTTTGCTGCTTGAAAGCAGTGTACAAAATTTTAATGAAATATCTGCTGTGGTTTTAAAATTATGATAAACAAATAGTTTTTTTCTTAGAATACCATGGACATTATACTACTGTGACTTTCTCTCCTGTTTCACGTTTCACTTGGGACACTTTGTTCATAAATAAATCCCTGGACGATATAATCAATGTATTTTATGATGTTTTGTACTTAACTGTTGACCTTTTTGTTCCTCTAAAACGTACTCTGCTAAAAAATTTCCTGTGTGGTTTTCTCAGGACTTGAAAGAAACAATAATTGAATAGAAAAAAGCACACAAAAAAAAGTTTCAACTGGACTTTATATGGACTATAAGTAATTTTCTGCATTAAGAGCTAGATGTAGAATCATTAAGAATCAGTGTTATCAATGCTATATAGCCCAAACTGAATCTTCCTTGAGAGTTATGTTGAAATCTTTTGGAAGTTCGTTAACAGTGAAAAGAAAAATTGTGATATTCCTTCTGAAATGTACTACAATAATATCAGGTCTTCAACTGGTGGCGAAATTCTAAATTTGTTTGCTGAGTATTTTTCGCAAATGTACTCTGATAATTTCTCTGATGTTTCACACAATGTCCCATCTTTCAGTCATATTAATTTGTCTAACTGTAACTTTTCTATTTCTGAAATTTATGTAAAACAGTCATCCTTAGATATCAGCAAGAGTCCAGGCCCAGATGGGATTCCCCCAATTCCTCTAAAACAATGTAGCTTTATACTGGCAGGTCCACTTCACTTCATTTTTAATCTATCTTTGGACAACAGCATCTTTCCAACTTTCTGGAAAATCAGCTTTATTACACCAGTACTAAAATCAGGAGATACAGCGCAAGTTGATCACTATAGGCCCATTAGTATACTAAGCTGTATACCAAAGTCTTTGAAAGCCTTGCTTGTGATTTTCTAGCTAAGAATTTGGGAAGCAGTTTTAGTGACAAACAATTTGGGTTTCTTGCGCATCGCTCGACTGAACATAACCTGCTCACATTTACCGACTTTTTGTTGGAGGCCCTGGAGGAGAGGCATCATGTACAGGGTGATCTATAATAAATGTCACCTGCTCCTAACTTTTTCATTTGACGTTTTTGACAAAAGTGTCAAATACAAAAGTTTCAGGAAATTGTTGAAAGTTTCTAACTATGTCAGTTTCAAACATACAGGGTGCGTCAAAAAAGTGTAGCAGTACAAAGTTATATTATTTTGAATGGAACACCATGTATATTGTGCGCTTATTTGATAGTTCCCTCCAACCTGATTTCAACGATATGTGGTTTGATATGTCTATCTTCAATAGTTATAGGGAAAAACATGAAAACCCCTTTCAAGGTCTCATATTGAAGAATAAAAAATTACATCATTTAAGCTTTGGAGAGAATTGTTTATAAACAATTTATTGTTCAAATGTTAAATTCGTTAATTTACAAGGTGAAATATTATAATAAATCCAGATGTCTTAAGCTATTATTATTATTTTTAAAAAAAATAACATGAGACTTAGGAAGGGATTCTCACGTTTTTCCCTATAACTATCGAAGATAAACCGAGAGATTAACATATCAAACCGTATATCGTTGAAATCAAGTTCAAGGGGACTAACCAATAAGCGCACAATATACCCACATTGTGTTTCATTTTAAAAAAATACAATTTCGCTCTGCTACACTTTTGACGCACCCTGTATGCTTGAAACTGACTTAATTAAAATCTTTTGAGAATTTCCTAAAACTTTTGTATGTGACACCTCTGTCAAAAACGTCAAATAAAAAAGTTAGGAGGGGTGACATTTATAATAGATCACCCTGTACACGCCATATACACCGATTTTTCAAAGGTGTTCGATCGTGTAAACCACAAAGTACTAATTCAAAAATTGGCTGTGAAAGGGATCCATGGAAGGCTTTTGGGGTGGTTAAGATCGTATCTCTCGGGTAGAAAGCAAGTAGTATGTATTCAAAGCTCAAGTCATGTGAAATCCGAGTCCCATCAGGTGCGCCTCAGGGTTCGCATCTTGGCCCCTTGCTTTTCAATGTGTACGTTAATGATATTTCGTCCTGTTTTTTATACACCCATTTTTTATTATTTGCTGATGATTTAAAATTTTACATGAGAGTCGACAAAACTGAAGATTGTTTAAAAATACAATCTGACTTGGATTGTCTGTCTGGTTGGTGTAAACAAAATGGAATGGAATTAAATGTTAAAAAGTGGCATCTAATGATTTTCAGTTGTAGCAGAAACGCAGAAACCCCACCCAGCGAGTATACTCTGTGAATGGTTGTCCGCTGAATGCTGTTTCTCAGATAAGAGATTTCAGAGTTATTCTGGATAGTCGATTGTCTTATATACCTCAAAATGGCTGTCTCCAAATCGCTTCAAATTTTGTGTTTCATCAAGCGCTGTACTAAGGACTTTCTCCACACCTCTTCGATTAAAACATTGTATTGGTCTCTTGTGCGCCCACACCTCGATTATTGTTCTTGTGTTTGTTCTCCTCATTACGATGTCCAGGCTATTGAAAGAGTGCAGCATAAGCTTTTGAGGTACATCTCTTTCAAATGGAAAACTATCTAAATATTGGTACTCTTCAAGTTTGTCGCCTTCACAGGCACCTTACAATGTTCTACAATTTGCTGCACTCCCACAGTTTTGCTCCTGATCTTACTGAAAAAATTGGGCTTCACGTTCCTTTGTGGCAAACTAGACAGAACCATTCCTTTTATGCTCCACCCCATAGAACCAACTATGGTTTAAACTCATTTTTTTCTAGGACCGCTCGACTTGCCAATCAACACTGTGATACTCTATAGACTTTTTTGTCAACCAAAGGTTTAAAATGGTTTGTGTTGTAGCTCATTGTTATTTTTGATCAGATTTCTAGGGTTTCAATTTTATTATTAATTTGATTTGATCTATTTTTATAACGTACTTATTTGGTAATTGCCTAATTATACCACATACGGCTAGTCAGCATCAGTTCGGAGGCCATGGTCAAGGTAATAAAATCTGGACAAAGAAAAGATAGTTGTTTATTCATTTATTTCTTTATAGTTCTATATGGAATCATATCCACTAGAGCAAAACAAAGTAGCATATTAACCAAGAAATTGAAAATGCTACATTTTAATTTAATTTAATGTGTGTTGAGGTTAGGTTGGAAATTAGATATTTTATATTACTAAAATTGTACTGTTTTCCAATTGGGAAATCACCTGTTGATAAATAAATAAATAAATAAATTTTAACACCCTGTATCTCGGAAATGCCGCGTTTCCGGACACATGTTTATATAGGAGACTAATAGTATGGCGGTCGGACCTCATTTTCGTTCACTAACCCAATATTTTGGTATAACCAAACGAGAATAATACCACAATATCAACATATGTTTCTACATACAAAAATGAATATGACGACTTTTTTTTTTGGTCGAGACTAAAATTATAGGTAAAAAACATAAAAAAAATGCAAAAAATTAATTTTAACTTTGAGGCTCCATATCTCGGGAAATAAAATAGCTATTGAACTGTTTTTTTTACTCAATTATAGCCCAAAATATGCTCTTTTATATGATATCTAAAGTTGTAATTAATATTAAAAAAATATTTAAGAAACACAAAGTTTTGTGAAAAAAGTAAATAAATTTTCTTCTTTCTATTTGATTCACCTCGACCTATCTCGCTTGTGTGAAATCTTTTGGAAATTTTTTTTGAATCAAAAACTGCAGAATTTACTTAATAGGCTTCATTTTTTGCCAATTAATGTAAGGTCTATTTTGAAAAATAAATTGGCTAGAGCGTTTTGAACGCGGCAATGCACACCGCGACAGCGGTTAAAAAGCGTGCCGTTTTGCGCCTTTCGCGACGAACTCTTCGGAAATTTTTACACATATTATTGATATTTGCAGCAGCTATGAGTGCTATGGCTTGTACTATTGTGAAATATGATAGGACATTTCCTTGCGAGTGCGCATATCCGTAAAAAAAAAAAAAAAAAATATGCATACTTATGTATTATTATGAGATATTTGGTAAAAATGTTTAGATTTAGGTACCTAGTTCTCACAGTCTGGTAGATATAAACTGAAAGTCCTAAATTATAACTAGTATTTGCCCTTTTTTTTATCAAAATTATTCAAAACTGCTGAAGATGTGGAGATAACATTTGTATCGAATGTGCTGGTAGAACAATCTGCAAAATATTGTTCATCAAGAATCCAAGATAGGTACTATTTTATATAAAGATTCTGGAATTCTGCCATAAAGGTACTTTTATTTAAATCTTGTGGAGTTAAATAATGTCCCATAGAATTAAAGCCTTTATTACTCAAAATTGCCTTCCGTAATATTCCTGCTGCTCTGTGAAACGCTAAATTTTCATTTTCTTCACATACAAGTTCTTCCTCAGAGCCCGAGTGTTCTTTTGTAATAGATGCATACATAATATCGTATTCATATTCCTTTGAAATTACAAGTGTAGGTTTTCCTGGACGGCTCAGAAATGATAGTGATTCACCTTATTTGCAATATCCGAATCAATATTTAAGTTTTCCAATGTATCTTTTAGTTGATTACATATAGGTCTTTTAGCATTACACATTTTTTTTCTTCTAAGATATATTTGAAAGGCTTCTTCTTCAAAATCACTGCATTCAGGCAATACATTTACTTCCTTAGTAAAGCTGGTCATATTTCTTTCACTGATAAATTTTGTGTAGCAGGATTGGTGGTATTTCACATCCGCATCAAATAAGTATATGTAGAGTTCCATTTGTCTATGTATAATGCTATCATTTCTTAATATTGAGGTTTCCAATATTTTTTCTCGTGTACTGCTTCCAGTTCCCGCACTAATCGAAATTAGGCTCTTCTTTTTTACTGTTCCGCTTTTTCCACTAACTAAATAGTCGGTTCTAATGTTAAAATTTTCACCACACCTAACATATCCGCTACTGGTACTCGGTGTATTTTCTGGAACATTTTGGTCAGGCTCAATATCAATTTTGCTGCAGAAAGACTTTCTGCAGCCCGAATGAAACCTAAAGTCCGAAAGTTTTTTTATTTATTTCGGATTGTTGAGATGAAATATTTAAAGAAATATTGTCATTTCTCAATTGTGCCGCGGAAAATGTTGAGGCATATCCTCTTAAAGTAAGCTTTTGAATAACATCCGCGCATCCTATCAATGTTGAGCCACAAAATATGCAGTTGTCTTTATTAAAATTCATTGCTACCCTACAAATAAAAAGAATTTACTGATAAGAAAGAACTCAAGAGGAAGTATTATTTACCCTCACTGCCTCACTAGATGCAAAAACTATTTCCTTATAGGGAGTTTCACTAATAAATAATAATAATCCCAAAGAACATCAGATCACTTGTCTTTATTTAATGGTTTTCTAGAAAAATTTATGAATGGTATAGATATTGTAGGTATAACAACTTTAGAGTAACAAACTCTATCATTATTTTCTACCATAAAATAAAACAAAGAACCAAACAAATCGACAGCAGACCGAGTTTTTTGATCTATTTAGATAGGTACCATCACATCTTTATTAGAAAACAACAATTTACCCAATCTCGAAATTTCTTCCTTTGTTTTTCTCTCTTCTATAATGGACCACTATCCGGTTATGATAGATATCAGGCACAAGAATTTATTACAGAAAAGCAATGACAAATCAATAATTGAATTAGCAAGTAAAATAAATTTTGAGAGATTCCATGAAATGCTAGTGAGGCAGGACTGGACCAGTGTCCTGATATTGGGGGATGCAGAACTGGCTATGAATCAATTTAATCTTATACTATCAAATATTAAACAAATATCTACAACTATAGTGACTCATAAGAATAAACATAAAAAGATAAAGCCATGGATCATGGATCACCTATATTATTATTGGTGGCGGCAGGACGCGCTAAGATGCAAAATGGCACGCATTTAAGTCGCCGCCGCGGTGTGCATTGCTGCATTCAAAAGGCTCCAGCTAACCTATTTTTCAAAATAGACATCACATTAATTGGTGAAAAATGAAGCTTATAAAATTCTGCAGTTTTTGAGTTGAAAATAATTTCAAAAAGGTTTCATATAAGCGAGATAGATCGAAGTGAATCAGACAGAGAAAAGAAAAATTTATTTCTTTTTTCACAAAACTAGGTGTTTTTTAAATATTTTTTTAATATTAATTACAACTTTAGGTATCATATGAAAGAGCATATTTTGGGCTATAATTGAGTGAAAAAAAAAGTTCAATAGCTATGTTATTTCCCGAGATATGGAGCCTCAAAGTTAAAATTAATTTTTTTCATTTTTTTATGTTTTTTGCCTATAACTTTGGTCTCGACCAAAGGAAAAAGTCGTCATATTCATTTTTGTATGTAGAAACATACATATAGTGGTAGTAATCTTGTTTGGTTATACACCAATATTGGGTTCCTCTCTAAAACGACGACTTATTAGCGTTCCGCCGCCGGACTATAATAACTATAGCTTATTTCCAATGTAGAATATGGCATAAAAATTTGGTGCATTAGTTTCGGAACACCCTGTACATGCATAACAGATCAAAGAGTGCTTTGATTACAAAAACGTCGCATTAATGTTTGTTTATTGGTCGGGAATTTTGACAAGGCATTTTGACACAAAATTCAATGACAAAATTGGAGAAAATTTTGCTAAGACATACATTTAAAAAATCATAGCCATCTTTGATTTGTTTTTTTTTTTAAGTCCGTTACCATATATGTACCTATTTTTGTTTCTTTTCAAAGCTTGTATGGATTTCCATCAAGTATCAGCCAAATCCCCGTCCAAATCAATCTCTCTTAATACAAAAATATTTAAAAAAACATTATTTGTTGCAATTGAACGTTTACCAACTGCGAAATGTTCAGTTCAATGTCCTGCAATTATATCAAAATAAAAATATTACCAGTTTTTCTAGAAACAACGGATTTCATTTCCCATTTAAGTATCATCAAACTAAATGAGAATGAGACTTTCTCTATTTTTGTGCTAAAATATTATTGAAATGCTTGTTATTGTACCTTTATCCCAAGCTTCATTTCCAATAGCCCTTCTTCTTTAATGCATTCATATTTAACTATTTTTTGTTCTATAACTTAGGCACGGTTTATTCATCTTCATTAAAACTTGCCGGTAACTATCTGCAAGATAAATTTACCGTTCTATACTTCTATTGTTCGGCGGATAACTGGCCGACCAATGAGATTACAGATTGCATTTTCATCCGTCAGATTGCATATCTGACAGTTTATCAGTAGGCGAATAAACCGTCCCTAAATAAAATGTTCTTCCAGAATGTTCTGTGCTTTGTGTATATGAACAAATATAATTCAGGAAAATGTCACACAACTAAGCCACCTCAGCCCTGGCTACAGCTGAAATCAATACAGATGCCTAATTTTTGTAGAACCACCTACCTATTTGAATTTATTTACACTAGCATAACTTCGTTTTCCAGAAACTATGGGGTTCCCAAATGGATCCTCGTCTGCTTCAATACATAAACAACTATCTGTTTGGAAGAGCTGAGCTAAAACTTACCACAGTAGACCTAGAACGGTTCGCTGAACTTTTTGTTTTCTGCACCAGGGGTACTGTAGACGAAAAAGTTAAAGTGCTTCTTACTTCATTGGGCAAATCCGATAACGAGGACATACCTTACAGCCTTGTGAAAGAATACGTGGAGAGCATCGTTTGTTCCTTTATGAAAATCCAGAAATTGAGCAGTGGAAAACAGTTCAAGAGTTGGTCTGGACGGGGGTGTGGGGCGCACTCGCAAAACTGCCAACGATTAGCGGAAAGTTTGAGTAGAGATTTAGCTGGTGAGAATCAGATTTTTGTTTTTACTTATTGATACAATGTCTAATGATAATATTACAGGGTTACAAATAATAATTTCCATAATTCATAATTTCAGTTATAAGATAATAACTTTTGTAGCAAAAAGATACACTAAAAATTAAATTAGTAAATTGAAAATATCTTTATTTAAATAGGTTTACCGAATATACAAAAAAAATATATATATAAAATATAAATTTGTCCCTTATCTTGCAAAAGTACAATAGTATCTATCCAAACTAAACCTAAAATAGTGCAGCAAAACTAAAACTAATACTTATAGGGGGTGTGCGCCAAAAATTAAAGTTTTAGTGTAAAAAAATCTAAGAATAACTGTTCAAACCTCGTTATTCTACGATAGACCATCGCTGAGATATACCGCTTTAAAGTCTGGACGACGCTCTCGTGACGTCACGAAAACTTCGTCCAGCGGCGCTCTGCATTGTTAATTTGATTGTTCCCGGCACGCGTGAGTGGTTTTTGTTTAGATTATTGCAGGTAACACAGGAAAAACATTATGTAAATTTAATTAAATCCACTTTCTCGTGCGTCGCTTGAGCTTTCGTGACGTCATAGGGTGAGATGCGGTACCTTCATAGAGCCATATCTGCGGTATTATTTGTCATAGAGAGGTGCGGATTTCACTGTTATTCTTAGATTTTTTTTCTCTTTTTTTTGAGATGAAGTTGTTTTTTTGGCGCACACCCCCTTTAAGTATATATTATACAATACAAAGATTCTCAATCTGTTTCTCGAAACCCCCAATGAATTTGATTCCTTTACGTTGTTTGACAGCCTATCAAATTCTTGGAATCCCCTAAAAAAGAGACGATTCATTGTACTCCTATAATTGGTTCTTGAGATATGCAGGTTATTTATAGGTTTGTTCCAACTGGTCAAAAAACTGTCCCAGAACCGTTTCGAAACCACTCTGTATACGAATTTCGGTTTGTGCGCACAAATTTTAGGTTTTGCGTAGAATCCTGACGGTAATATTACGTTTTCCTGCTGGGTTGGAACAAAGCTATTTATAGTCGAGTATTCATGAATGTCTCTATTATAAATTATATATTGGTCAAAATATTCCGGTGCCAACACGTTCAAAATACCACGGTAGAAAAGTAAATTCTACCAACCCAATGTTTGTAACATGTCCGATATTGGTGTGAGACGGCTTGCTTTCAATATAATCCGCATGCCACGAAGCTGAAGCCTTTGTTAACTATCTGGTTTATTAAGGTTAAACATGTACAGTTTTGAAGAACAATGATCAAAATGTGGTTTATTATTGAATTATAAACAAAAATCTTGATTTGAAATGTTTGAATAGTTAAATTGTTCGCAATTCTACTAAAAAAATTAAGTTTTTTTGATATTTATTTGCTCATATATTCAAAGGGCCTATCAAAATTCAACAAACTATCCATTTGATACCTTAGATATTTAATATTAGATACAATCTCAATTATGTCACTATGTTTTTGAGCCACGGTATTCTAACTCTCTGTTGTCTGTTTTGGAAACGACCAGTTTAGTCTTCAGGAAGTATAAGTGCGAATTGAAGCTAAGGGGTCAATACAATACAGAGGCCGCCTTAAAGTACCTAAGGGCCAGAAGCAGAATTGTCCTGGAAAACTCCTATATTAAGTCAGATCAAACTATCATCCAAAGAAACTTTTTAAAGCAAGTACAAGCAGAAGTAAGGGAAAGAACGGAAAAAGGTGAAACTAATTTAAAGATAAAGTATTGTCGCAGCTTTGGGTATGTCGCAGCTTTGGGTTGCCTGCTGACAAAATTCTTGGGTTCGTGGTTCGTTTCGTTTATTCCAAAAATCAAAGTCCAATTAACACAGCAATAATTTATTCCACTTAACAAAACACTCTGACACTAATTACTTTAATAACTAACTCAACAATTAAACTTTACAACTCAATAATCACTATTTAACTCGTATCACACTCGAACTGAAACTCAAAACTACAAAGCAATAGCCGCCTTTATATATCCCTAAATCTATTCCTGTAAAATCTAGAATACACACGATAATCTTATTTTCCCGAATTAAGTAGAATAATTCACTAGATTCTAGTATACTCAAGAGATAATACCGAGAGATTCTTGACAGCCTGGCGGACGTTTAGCTTATTGTGACACTGCCCTCCTCTTAAGGTTGATCGTCCCGATCAACTTCTCGCCCATGATATTTCGCCAACCTGTCCAGATGTACAACTTTCATCTTACTCCTGGTGTTGCGCTGGACTCGATAAACCAAATCATTGATCCTCTTGATTACTCTATAGGGTCCTTCCCATGCTGAAGACAATTTCGGTGATACTCCTTTCTTCCTTACTGGGTTATATAACCACACTAAATCACCTTCTTGAAATCCGACCGAATTGGCCTTCAAGTCGTATCTGGTCTTCATTCGGTCACTGGCTAGTTGAATATGCTCCCGAGCAAAATCATGGATACCCAGAAGTCGTGCCCTTACTTCGTCGGCATAATCTCGGATTTCTCTTCGTTCTTCTTCGGGTACTCCAAACATCAGATCGCAAGGTAACCTGAGTTCCCTTCCAAAAACAATTCTAGCCGGACTTTCACCTGTTGAATCGTGAACAGCCGCTCTGTAAGCCATTAAAAATAGAGGCAAATGCTTGTCCCAATCTCGTTGGTTCTTTGCGACCACTTTTGTCAGGTGTTCCTCTATGGTCTTATTGAATCGTTCCACCATGCCATCAGATTGAGGGTGTAAAGGTGTTGTCCTTGTCTTACGAATGCCCATGATCTCACAAACTTTCTTAAAGATAGCAGATTCGAAGTTTCGTCCCTGGTCTGAATGTAACTCTAGTGGCACACCATGACGACTAAAAACTTCGTCCACTAGCACCTGGGCAACAGTGATGGCTTCTTGATTGGGAATAGCGAAAACTTCTGGCCATTTACTGAAGTAATCCATGATAACTAAGATGTATTTGTTACCACGCTCTGACTCTGGGAACGGGCCTGCTACATCTATCGCTATTCTCTCAAATGGAAGACCAACGTTATACTTTTTCATGGGCCCCCGAGATCTTAGTTTAGGGCCTTTACTGGTAGCACAGATGTCGCATTTTCGGCACCAGCTTTTAACGTCTTCATGGTAGTGAACCCAGTAAAAACGTTCCCGAATTTTGTCCAAAGTCTTGTTAACTCCGAAATGTGCCCCTGAGGTTCCGTTGTGTATTTCTTTTAATACATCTTCCACTCGGTCTTTTGGGATAACCAGTTGGCTCTTAGTGGATTTCCCATCGGCACTTTCCCAAACTCTTTTGAGCAAACCATTTTCTACAGCCAGAGAGTTCCATTGGGCCCACAACGCTTTGTAAATCAAGCTCTTGTTTGACACTTCCCTCCATTCTGGCCTACATTCATCGTTTTCTTTAAGATGTAGAATTTGCCCGATGTCCTGGTCTGCCTCCTGATCTTCTCTCATTTGCTTGGTAGTCCATTTATCATCGACGATCAGGCCCGTTCTTCTTACTGCTGGACTAGTGTTTTTCTCATGTATATCGATTCTTTGACAATGTTTGCAATCTTCTTTACATGGCCGTCTAGACAGAGCGTCAGCATTTTTATGTAGGTTTCCAGGTCGATGTTTAATTTGGAAATCGTATTGCTGCAATTTCTCAATCCATCTAGCAAGCTGTCCTTCAGGAGTTTTCATTTCTAAAAGCCATTTTAGAGCTGCGTGATCTGTTCTAATTAGAAACTTGCGTCCGTAGAGATACTTATGAAAATGGTCGACTGCTTTTACTATGGCAAGCAACTCTCTTCTGGTGACACAATAATTTCGTTCCGGCTTTGATAATGTTCTGCTGTAGTACTCCACGACATGTTCTTGTGAGTTTTGGATTTGTGAAAGGACAGCTCCAACACTGGTGTTACTTGCATCTGTGACCAAAATCAACATGCCTTTGTAATCAGGATAGGACAACACTGGGCTCGTACATAATGCTCCTTTCAATTTTCTAAATGCGGAATCGCATTCTTGGGTCCAATTGAATGTTGATTTTTCTTCTGTCAATCGATGAAGTGGAGCAGCTATTTTGGCGAATCCTTCCACAAATCTTCGATAATAAGAACATAATCCTAGAAAACTCCTTAGTTCAAGTTTGTCGCGTGGTTTTGGCCAGTCCCTAACGGCATCTATTTTTCCTTCCATAACTTGTATGCCCTCTTCAGATACCACGTGACCTAAGAATTCCACTTTCTTTTGAAATAGGAAACACTTATTTGGATTGAGTTTCAAGTTGGCATTCCGGAAGCGGTCAAAAACTTCTTTCAGGTTATTAAGATGTTCTTGGAACGAATTTCCCATAATCATGACATCATCCAAATATACCAGGCAAGTTCTCCATGTAAGGCCTCGCAAAACAAGATGCATCAGTCGCTCAAACGTAGCTGGAGCATTACACAATCCGAAAGGCATTACATTAAACTGGTATAGCCCGCTTCCGGTACTGAAGGCAGTTTTCTCTTTGTCATCGTCATGTATTGCCACTTGCCAGTATCCACTTTTGAGATCCAAGGTGGAAAACCATTTGGAGCCCGATAGAGTTGTTAGTGTATCGTCTATTCTTGGGAGAGGGAAGCTGTCCTTCTTGGGGACGTCATTAAGCTTTCGGTAGTCCACACAAAATCTAAGACTCCCATCTTTCTTCGTAACCAGTACTACTGGCGCGGACCATGGGCTATTTGACTCTTCAATGATTCCCTCTTGAAGCATTTTATCAATTTGGCTTTCCACTTCCTGTTGCTTAGCTACTGGCATACGTCGTGGTGGTTGTCTAATTGGGTGTGCCAATCCAGTATCAATTTTGTGTTGAATTAAGCTGGTTCGTCCCGTTTGATTGTCCATCACAAATACGTCTGCTTCTTTCAAAATGAAATCTGTGGCTTCTTGAAGTCTATCTGGATCGAGATGTTTCCATGATTTCGCCAA